AAGGGCACTCAGAATAACGTGTGATAAAATAAATTTATAATGGGGCAATCATGAATTTATTGTCGGGCATCTCAAAGGTTATGTTTAACAAGCAAATCATTACGCTTGTTGATTCACATCATTGTTTTCATCGTGTCTATTGGTAGACACGAATGTGTATAAACATGCTCAGACATCACCACTATCGACGCTTACTGTCCATTTTCTGTTAATTTAGCAGAGAAAACATATAGAATGATGAACATAATACAAATGTTTGATGCTTTTGTCGGTCAACATTACACAGTAAAAGATTGTATGTTGGAATTTAAATTAAATATTTTGATATTAAAACTCCTACAGCTTGCAATATTTATGCTATATTTTTCTGTACATTGTTGTTAATTGAAATGTCATGAAGAAAACATATGTTACAAATTTGTAAAGGTATTATTCATGTAGGGGCAGTTTAGGTGAGTTTATAATTTGAAACTTGTTTCTTTCAATAAACTGGTTCACTTCAGATGCAAGTCTTCATATTATTTTTTCTGTTAAATACAGTGTACATGTATATCAAAAAAATTTTCCCCATGGTATATTCACGTAAACCTGTTTATTTATTTTTTTTTTCAAGATTATGAAAGGTTTCATAACATGCCGAGTGTATTTGTTAATCAAAGTAATTCTCTTTATAGCCTAATTGTATTTTTACTGTAGCTAATTTTATAGGAAATTATGATGAAAAGAAAGGTTTTATGGTGTCTTAATTTGTGATTGAATTATGTAAGTAAAACCTTGTAAGTTAATGTAACTTTTCCCTCCAAAAATATAAAATTAGTATGAATAAAAGGTAATTAGGGTAAATTTAATAGGTGTCAGAGTGGGTTTGGGGAATTCATATATGGTTTTATTGGTTTATATATATTTGGTGTGTTTAATATTATTGTTACGTGTATAGTGTTAATAAATTTAAAGTGCTGTTAATTTTATTGTATTTTTCATACGGAATTATAAATAATTTGAAGATAGAAAGGATATTCAGTGTAATAGAAAAAAAAAATGCAACACAATTTACAGGCTAAACGATTGCAATAAAATAGCCCTTTTTTTTTCTTCAATGAGTATAAACATTATAATTCATGTTGTACATAGATACAGATGCAAATTATACAATTATGGACTTCGTTGTAGGTCAATGTGTGGTTATAAGGACTCGTGGCAAGTGATATTGACCTCAGACCCAGAAATTGATAGCAACTGAGCCTTCAAGGTAGCTATTGTTCACTGAAGTCCATAAAAGTTACATAATCACTCGAAGTGAATGATCTTTCACAGTCCTAACTGAAATGACTTCCCGATTATTTTAATTTTCAAAATGGTAAAAACATGCTTCATATATCATGACTTCGTTCTATGAGCCAAGTATGTATCGCATCAAGTATAAAACAATTCAATTTTGGAAACATTTTGTTTAAGGTGAATTCTAACAAGCACATAAACATTCACCTGGTATAAGTTGGCCTGTGTTAGGAAAGTGTGTCACCCTGTGAAAGCTATTAATCTAATTGGAAGTTCTTAATACTTTTGTATTTTTTGTTTCGAAATGATACATGTATCTGTAACAATCTGAGAAAAAGAATTAGCAAAGGAAACGTAAATAAATTTATTTTACAGCACTTCACATACAATAACATTTGATTCCAAGACATGATAAACAGTGAGTTTCTTTTGTATATAAAGTGTAACACCCTCCGGGAACTATTCTGTATCTCAGAGCCAGCTGATTTATTCTGGTTTAGGTCCAGAATCCGGCGTTTTCAGGTTCAGAGAATCGGCTGTTTTCTCCTCAATAATTGTAGCCAGTTTGGCCTCTGTGTTGGAATCACTCTCTGCAGCTTTATCTGTACAAAGACAAACTTCATTTTACATGGGTCTTTCGATTGATCCTGGAAAATTAAACTCTTTAAAAAGATATTTTATTTGCTTTCAGAAGTTGGTAGAAATTAAATATTCCACAGAATTTGCATGTGAACTAAGAAATGAAGGCAGATATCTGATAAGTACAGTGTTTATTTTAAATTATTGCAAGGTGAGATTAATTTGAGTGTAAATTAACATAGATGGAGAGCAATTTCCATATACATGTGTAGCGGGAAAGGAGAGAAGGCAGCGGAACAGACGGGAATTCAAACCTGGTGGCCAGATAGCTCAGTTGGTAGAGCACCTGACTGGGGTTTCAGGGGGCCTGGGTTCAAATCCTGATCTAGTCCGCTGCATTTTTATCCTCTCCCGTTACATTTGGTGCCTTGCAATGCCCTGGAACTGACAGGTGAGAGGCCTGCCAGGGATGAGCCTGGGCTTTAAGGAGGGAGGAATGTGGCGGTCAGCTGGGTTCCATCACCAGTGGTCAGACTGCTCAGTTGGTACAGCACCTGAACGAAGTTTCCGGGGTCCTGGGTTCGAATCTCAGTCTGGTCCGCTGCATTTTCTCCTCTCCCCTTACACATGCATGCACGTTTAAATTCTGTATTTCCAACATGCATTGAGTGGTACTTTACTTTTTGTAAATCTGCCATTTTAAAGCATAAGAAGTTATAAATTACCTCCATCAGTCTTTTCCTGGTTTTTAGGATCCACAATGGTGACCTTGACCTCACTGGGTGGTGGGGTAGGCGGTTTTGGTGGCGGATATATCACATTTTTATCAGCAATAATGTCCTTAAAAAATTAATGGTAATTTTTTTTAAAAATACCCACAATATTGAAATAACCATCCCTGAAAATACTTAATAATTATAGGGATGCAAAAATATTTATATACTTTTCTTAATCATGCAATTACCAGTATTGTATTAAATTTTAATGATAGTTGGATATTCGAATCATTTTGGAATTTTTTTTCACAAACAATCAATAGGACTGAAAAGCAAATATTAAATAGGAGATATAGGCTTTTCTTTGGTTAATTCACAGATTACATGAACATATTTATAATTCTAAAACCCCTTGACACAAATGTTGGTGATGTATTGTTCACAGAGAGCTCGACATATGGACAGTCCACTGCTATATTGTGATTCCTCACCTTAATGGCTGCTTTAATTTTCTCCTTGATGGCATCAGTCTGTTCCAGGTCTTGTACAACTGACCAGGAACCTTCAGGACTGATGGTAACAGGGAAGGAGCAGGGCAGGCCCTCGGGGACATCATACCATCCTATAAACACAGGGATATAACATATAATCCAGTCATTAGTTTATAAGCTAGCTTTAAGAAACCTCTCTACACTGCACACTAAAGAGTTCTTATTCTAAGGTATTTTTCTGCAGTTAGAGTGATCTGCCCTTAGATCTAAATTCTAAAAAATACATGTATATATATACAATGTATTACTCAATTTTTAATTAATTCAAGTATTCTTTATATTTTAAAAGGCCAAGACAAATTAACTGAACGTGTTATTCACATGTAATTTCTCTACTGAAGTAATGAACAGTGATTTCTATTCACCGATACTGTGTTGTCTTTGAACATTTTTCCTGGGGGTAAATGCCACGCACCATACAGTGAAAATTAGATAAATAAGCTCAATATTGACTTCTTTATACAATATATTTTTCTCAATGTCCAAAAAAAATTTTGCACTGGTGTAGAGAGGGTCCTTAACTGACATTCATCAACTTGAATTGAACCCAACGATGTTCTGTTGTTAACAAATACATATCTCTGCTCAATGCTTAAGATAAGGGGTGATAACTCTGTCCAACAACTTTATTACGCCCCGCAAACGAAGTTTGGGGGGGTATATAGGAATCACCTTGTCCGTCTGTCTGTATGTCCTTCTGTCTGTGCAATCGTGTCCGGTCCATATCTTTCTTACAGAGGGACATTAGAATCTACTACTCCACACTTAGATTGCTCATGACCTAAGGGTGTGTCATGACCTTGACCCAAGGTCACTTAGGGAAGTTCAAGGTCACTTGAAGAAAAAATTCATAATTCGTGTCCGGTCCATATCTTTTTTACGGATAAACTTGGTAGGTTTTCATTTCACACAAAGATTGCCCATGACCCAAGGGTGTGTCATGACCTTGACCCAAGGTCATTTGGGGAAGTTCAAGGTCACTGGAAGAAAAATTTCATAATTCATGTTTGATACATATCTTTCAAGGATAAACTTGGTAGGTTCTCATTTCACACAAAGATTGCCCATGACCCAAGGGTGTGTCATGATCTTGACCCAAGGTCATTTGGGAAAGTTCAAGGTCACTGGAATAAAAATATAATTCATGTCCAGTCCATATCTTTCTTATGGATAAACTTGGTAGGTTCTCATTTTACACAAGGATTGCCCATGACCCAGGGGTGTGTCATGACCTTGACTCAAGGTCATTTGGAGAAGTTCAAGGTCACTGGTAGTAAAATTTCATAATTCGTGTCCGGTCCATATCTTTCTTATGGATAAACTTGGTAGGTTCTCATTTCACACTAAGATTGTCCATGACCCAAGGGTGTGTCATGTTGACCCAACGTCATTTGGGGAAGTTCAAGGTCACTGGAATAAAAATTTCATGATTCGTGTCCGGTCCATATCTTTCTTATGGATAAACTTGGTAGGTTCTCATTTCACTCAAAGATTGCCCATGACCCAAGGGTGTGTCATGACCTTAACCCAAGGTCATTTGGGGAAGTTGAAGGTCACTGGAAGTAAAATTTCATAATTCGTGTTTGGTACATTATAATCTTTATTATGGAAAAACTTACTTCTGAAAAACCCAGCGGGGGGTATTTTGTCCCTTTTGGACAGTTCTAGTTTTCTTTGACAGTGGAATTCAGTTTTATATTGGGCAAGCTTTGTGCTCATTAATTGCTATTTAGAAAGTAAAAAAGATATAATTATGTGCTTTATTGGACAGAATATTTTAAGCTTACCTTCTGATGCCACAACAAAGGAAAAGATTTGTCCCTGCGGTGATCCATTCCACCAGTGAGCTAATGTGGTTTCTATAGCAGCCGCTCTGGACATGCTGGCTGAGTGTCCCATCAACTCCTGACTTTTCTGGTGCCGGTTCTTTACAAGCTCTGTAAAAGCCAGTTATATAATTCCCTTGTACCTATTCCATAACTGTATATTATAAAATTCTAATGAACTTTTCAAAGTAAAATTCTTTAAAAAATGAATTTACAGAAATTTATATTTTTAAAAAGTGTAATCTCATACCAACAAACTCATTTTCCATCCACTTCTTATCCCAGATCATTTCAGCAGCTGGAAGTGAGAAGGAAGGAGGTCCCCAGATGGCGCCATCATAACCATGGACACGACATTTAGAGATGTCAATGAAGGAATCCCCATTGATGTTTCCCCAAACAATTAGATCCACCACCCCATTGGGATTTATGCTTAGTTTCTCTGCTACCACAGACTTTGCATTGTTTTCCAGTCTTCGGGAAAGTCCTACTATGTTTTGTTTTGGAATGTTTGGGGCATTTTCGATCATCATGTAAACATTTAAATTAGTTGGCCCATTTCCTGTGACTAAGACTTTGACCTCTTTTTTCGCGTTATCATTGATGGCCTTGGCATATTTTACATGGTATTCAACAGACCGTTTAACAAAATCATCTCTGCTTTCTTTCTCTGATTGAATCAAGTCATTCATCACAACAATTGCATCACATCCTTTAAAAGCCTTGGAAACCTCTGAGGTCACAATTATTTCTCTAAGAAGTCCATGTGCCAGGTCCATAGCTTCCATTTTAAGTCCTTCTAATGATTCCATGTTAGATTTATCATCTAACAGATGCAAAGAAATCTCTGTTGAGTCACCAAAGACATCCCCTCTAGCCATTGCATCAACTAAGTTGTAACATACAGGATTTGAGGCGTTTGTGATACATACATGCAGGGGGTGACTCAGGGCTTTGAATGCTTCCTCCTCTTTATCCTCCTCTATTTTGTATGCTTTATTCTCCTCAGAAATCTTTTGCATGTCCTCACTGTTTTGTGTGGATTGAACGCCATAGTATCCATTTGCATATTCCTGGAATTCATTGGCACCTCCTATGAGGACCCCCTTTCCTCCTCTATCAATGAGTTCTCGCCACACCAAAGGGGACTTCTTATGTTCCCATTCTCTCAAACTGCATGTGTCCTTCAGCCAAGTCTTCAATAAATGATAATGAAAACATATTGATACATATTTTGAACATATTTTAAAATATTTTATTATGATATGTTATTCAAAATAAATTTTTTAAAAAAGGATCACGAAATACAACTAAAATTTTAAAAGTAAAAAACTACATGTATATAAAATTTTTTTTATCATGACTCTGAATATATGAAACAATTTCTTGCCATGAAGAAACAACTATTAACTGCAGCTAAAATATGTTCAGAATAAAATAAATGAATATCACTCACATCCCATTCTTCTGGCTTCACAACTATTTTATGCAGTTGAAAGTCTGGTAGATTCCTTGAAAGTTTGTCGCCTAACAGCTCTGATCTGGCATAATATGGACAATTGGATTTTCCTGCACAAAAAATCATCTGATTATAAGTACAAAGAAGATATGATTTGGAAGAAAAAAATATGAATGGGATTGGGCAGTAGACACAATCCTAATTTAGCATGTTTAGCCCTGTAGATTACATGTGCATCATACATGCTTTGAGAGGTGTTCATGTTTATTACGATTATTCCCATGTAAAAGCTAAATAGATGATTTATTCAACATTTTAAGTTAAAAAATCTTACCAGCAATCACGATTTTAGCCATGTTTACACAGTTGTCAAGTTTGATCGGATTCCCTTGGGAAAAACAGATTCCCAAAGTGGTACAATTAGAGGTGTTCCGATAGTGCAGGCGGTAAATCTAACACTACTGAAGCCCTCCGAATATTTTTTTCCCGTAAATATTCTCCATTTCGCTCAACAGATTCGATTAAAATTTTTCGGAAATATTAAGTATATTGAACTTCGTTTATATCCAAAATATTACGAATGATGACATTTATAAACTAAGTTGTGCCGTTCAATGAATCGGTAACTTTTTTTGTCATTTTATAATTATTTTGTAAAAAATGAAATATAGATTTTTTGTTAAATATTTGCATATGCTGAAAGAAATATTTGACTTCAAACAATACTTTTTAATTAAGAGTTTTTAAATGTCATATTTCAGCGTTTTCTCGAAATGGTATTTTTCACCATCTTTTTCGTTATATAGTAATACCCTGATCACGATTGTCAGTGCGCTTTACATTGGGGAAAGAAAAACAGTAACATAGGCCTCTCGATGACATAGATTAATATAAAACAACATGGAAAAGGAGAAGCATGTGGCAAAAGTTAAAAAATCAGGAAAGGGTTTGGCTTTGGAGCCAGAAAAGCAAGAAGAATTTAAAGAGAACTTGAAAAAAATCAAGGCAAAGGTATTGAATAGAATGTGCGAGAGACTGCCCTAGACTTCTAAATGTGACTCGGTTAAAAATTGAAGAGATTCACAGATTGTGCTGGACTATCAGCTCCAGCTTATTCCCTTGATAATGATTTAGCATTGTAGCTTGAAATAGCTAGTAGAGCTGAAACAAATACCAAAAATCAATATTCGTTACTGTTATTCGATTCGCATTTGAACATTCCGTAGTTAAATAAAGGTGTTATTATGCCTTTTCATATACTTGCAAATCCTATTGTTAATTACTATATATCTATGTACAAGATAGCTGTAAGAAATAAACGTCTGTTCAAAGTCGTTTGACATGTACAAAGTTCAGACTGCTTGGCCCACGACACCTCGACCCAACGATACTTCGGCCCGGCCGGGCATTGACACCTCGGCTCCGACGGCTCGGCCCAAATTTAAAGACACCTCGGCTCACATAAAAGACTGCTCGGCCCAAATGGAAATATATCATTTTCATTAAAAATATTTATTATTTATGCCGTTATATATCTATGAAATGCAAAAGAAAATTAATTTGATACATTCTGATGCAATCTTCCAAGAAGGTAATTAACGAAAGACAATCCATTAGTAACTTGATAATAAGTGCTAATCATTAAACAAACCAGAAGACGCAGTGCATCCTTTGGAGTCTCGAGCGCGTGTCATATGGGGTGGAGATTTAATTAGGAGTTAATTACGAGAAGCCATAATTGGGAGACTTAATCATGTTAATGAAAAGTTCCTTTAAGAAACCATTGTTGATATTTTATTGAATTGATTTGAAAAAATAAATGAGTTTTTAAAATTAAACAGAAAAAAATATATATGAAAAATAAACAAATCAATAAATCTTGTGGACCAGGACATAAACTTCTGTACTGTAGACCTATTGGTTTACACATAATTACATGCATTAGTAAAGTCAGAAAATGCCATGTACATACCGTTTTTTGTATGAGGGTGTGTCAGCTAGTGTGACATGTATTGTTTAAGACCTCCTGCTAAATTTTTTTTTTCAAGTAAACAAATACCTGATTTTTTTTAAACGATTTTTTTTAATTCCATATGGAATTTTATGGTGAAAACAATTACCGGTGTGACGCAACCTGATTGCATGGCTATGTTAATATTTTTATTTTAATGTAAAAGTATCACTGATAGAAATAAATGGTGGAATATATCATGGTTATTTTTCTTTAACTAAGAAAGCTGAAAACCTAGGACCCCCCCCCCCCCCTCCCTGAACATGCTGAAATCGAAATTTCTTCTTGCCAGCATTTTGGGAATACGGGTGATTTACATCAATTACACTTTTATTGACTTCATCGGTGCGTAAACCGAACGAGATCTCTTGGCATGTTTACATTACCATAGAAAATACAAAAAAATTTAAAATTAAACTTATTTAAACAAACTAAATTTAATTTTATTCCTAATGGGCCGAGCAGTCTTCGGTATGGGCCGAGGTGTCAATGATTTTGAGCCAACCTTTCAGGGCCGAGGTGTCAACGAGCACGGGCCGAGGTGTCGTTGGGCCGAGTAGTCGTTTACCTCTACGGACCCGGTTTAACGATAGAATTCGTTCCGTGTATTCGTAATGTAGCAAAAAGAAACACGGGCGATAACTCGCATAGTGCATTTACTAGGAACAATCTAGAGAGTTCCAAATTTAAACATGGCAGGTAATTTGAATCAAGAGAAAAACGTTGAGAAAATTAATTGGATTTTTGTATTTATATGGATTATTTTTTGGGATAAAAGGCATAAGCAATCTCAAAAAGGTTTGTTTTGATTATTTTGGTAGTTATTCCCAGTGCAAATCATTTTATATTTTTCAAAATCGTTATTTGCTACATTGCAAGTATATGGGACGTATTCTAACTGTGGTGAGGGCCTGTACCGAGACACAGTTAGATTATTCTAACTAAAAAAAAATATACCCTTACCTTATAATAAACCAAGGCTCCCAACGGCGCCATCTTGAATTTTTCAAGGTCTGCCACATCCACTTGTATTTTCGTCTGAAACTCCGTCAAATAAATTCCCTGCAACCATATTCTTTCTGTGGCCAGTCTTTCGAGGTCTAAACTTACGGACACTGCAGCCAGAAGGGCACATCACACTTGCAAATATTAAAAATCCCTCGTCAAACTCGATCTACTGCTTCAACAATCCGAGAAATCGCCAAAGGGGAAAAAAAATGTCGCCATGCCATTACTTTATTGCAATACATAAAATTGTAGATCTCAACACTCCCTGGAATAATTTTAGTGTGGACCCCCCCCCCTCTCACACACGTGCGTACATACTTTGAATAAACAAAGTCAATCTTCTCCACGGATATCGCTCAATCAGGGCATCAATCATGACAGTGTTATTAATTATATCAAGTGCATGTAAGTAGGGACTTACAACCGACTCAATATTTTGTCTCGAAAATGTTCATTGATTAGCTAGCATGATATCAGGCCGATCTTCGACATTTACAAAATATAATCGCTTTGATCAAGCTATATCGAAATTATTTTAGAGAGAAATGCAATGAATGTTCTTACATGTATATTACGTTGTATTATTGTCTGAACTGTTTTTGGAATAAGTAGTTTATAACTTTCGCTGGTTATTTTTAAAAATAAATCATACAAATATATTGACCAATCAAAAAAGGGCTTTCCTTAAGAATTTCAAGTCATATGTAAACTTCCGGCCCCCCTTTGGCGATTTCTCGGATTGTTGAAGCAGTAGATCGAGTTTGACGAGGGATTTTTAATATTTGCAAGTGTGATGCGCCCCTCTGGCTGCAGTGTCCGTAAGTTTAGACCTCGAAAGACTGGCCACAGAAAGAATATGGTTGCAGGGAATTTATTTGACGGAGTTTCAGACGAAAATACAAGTGGTGTGGCAGACCTTGAAAAATTCAAGATGGCGCCATTGGGAGCCTTGGTTTATTATAAGGTAAGGGTATATTTTTTTTATTAAAAGAAAAATAAGTAACGTCAGGTGCCTGTGAAAGTACATTAAGACTTGCTTTTACTTTCAACAAATAACTAAATTAGAAAAAGAATCTTTATCAACAATCATAAGTCTCTTTAGTTCTTTACTTCTTAAAATTAGTTCACTGTATTGCATTCTGATTACGTAAAATGCTCAGTCACCAAATCAGCAGGTGCTCGCCATGTTTCACTGTTATATAAAAACGGTTCGTTTCCGGAAACGTCCTGTAAATTTATTTAGACTATATTAAAATTTAAAATATTACATTCTCAAAAAAGTATAATGTAATGTATATTTTTTCACAAATGATTTCTGCAATTATTTATAAATCGGAACAAACGATACTATTTGTTAATCTGGAATAATTTTCTCCGCACAATATAAATCTTTCATTATTTTCGATAGTAAAAATCATGGCGATCTAGATCGGAGATACATGAGGCTGATGAATGTTTGTCTTGAAGATGATTAAATAGATTTGACATCATGCCTTTATCAGGCCAGTAGTACCATGTGGACAAATATTTTCATTTGAGAATGTTTGAACATCCGTTTCAGCTCTACTATCTAGCTTATTAAGCAATTCAAATAGCTTGAAAAAATTAAATGCAGTTTTTCACAAAACTGTTTTTTGTAAAAAAAAAAAAAAAAAAAAAAAATTGCTATCAAAAAAGCAACCCAAATTAAAGATAGATTAAGTACATTTATATATGCCATATAAATTATCAGCACTTAAGACTTAAAAAAATGATTTATTCGTCATCAAGGTTCAAACAAGGTTGCACAGAAATTCACCCTGTGTTTTATTTTATACATCCAGTGGCCAAAAGACCTAAGAGGCTCAATGTGTATGGAATGAAATCGGGGGTAAATATGTACACCTTGATTGGACCTGAATTACAATTTTATTTCCATTGTAACCAAATAAATTCACTGTGAGGCCAAGTCAAATAAATTGTGCTTGAAACAAAGATTTAGTGCATACTAAAATGCATATAACGTCTTATTATTTGTTTTTGTATTGGAAAAACTGTGCATTGTTTATTCCCCTGGGGAGCAGGACTCGTAGAGTGAATGTAAATAAAACAGGCCCTTGAGGTTGATTTGAAATTTTGATTTTGATTTACAAGGGAGAAAAAGAAAAAGGATCAGGAGTTGTCTACCTTGGACATCTTCCCCATGGATTTTATGAAGGCCAACTCAAGAAATATATGTCACAGTTTGGAAAAGTGAAAGCTGTGAAGGTTTCCCGTAGTAATAAGGTGAGATATACCAGGCTGGCCTAGTAGATTTAGAATTAAATCTATGTTCAGGACTTCCTGGATCAAAAAACTCAAGTGGAGGTTCCAATCATTTTTCTATAAGGCCAAAAAAAATTAATTAATAGTTTCTCAGGCACCGCAGCATCAGTTCAAAAATGGCTGCATTGATCAATTTGATTGACATATTGAAAAGGGAAATAACTCAATTTTTCTATTTTTCCAAGTTGAAAAAGAAAATCGAGTTATTCCCCTTTTCATTAATGCTAAGAAAGACGTTTTTATTAGAAAAACAATATATTTCTTCTAAATCTAAAGTATTTTATCAGTTAACTTTTAAATAAATGTTTGGAATAACATTATTTAACGTTGAAAACATATTATACCTAATTTCAGAGATCAAAACTTAAGAATTAGTAGATATTATCATTTCTATTGCACAAATGACTTACAAAAAAAGGTGTAAAACCTGCTTTCGAAAAAACAAAAACAAAAACAAAAAAAAAACAAAAAAAAGCCTGCCTGTCGCATTGAATTTTTAATTTTTTGGCCTGAGAAACTATTATTTTTTTGGGGCCTAAGTATTTTAACCTTGATTTTTTTTTTACAAATCCTCAAATATCCCAAACTTCCAGACAATAAGGTTTGACTGTAATTACTATCCACGGCACTTCACTGAAGGAAGACAGATGAGGTGGGGTTTTCTGGTAGAATATTTACAATATCTAACTAAATCACTCAGGTGACATGCTTATTTCTGTTGGTTGCTAAACAATTCCAGCTTCCTCTCTGAAACAAATATCAATTTTATCATAATTATAGCATGTATGGGTAAGAGACACACCAATGTGATGGGTTCTACTCTCCTAGGTGAATCTGCTCTTGGTGTAAATGCATCTTCTCATTCCTATCTTTACTTGGTACATGTATTGTCAAAGGTATACTTTCATTTGTAGACTGGTAAAAGTAAAGGCTACGCTTTTGTGGAATTCCAGTCAGATGATGTGGCCAGAATTGTGGCAGACACTATGAACAATTACCTGGTGTTTGAAAGACTCATCAAGTGTAGGGTTTTATATTAGAGGTTTTCTTATACCAAATAGTAAAGGCAAATAGTATTCATATTTAAAATTTGGAAAAGAGAAAATTGAAAGTTTGAGCTGAATTTCATTAAGTGTAGGGTTTTATATCAGAGTTTTTAACCAAATAATGAAGGCAAAAAGTATTCATATTTAGAATTTGGAAAAGAGAAAATGCCAATTAATGAAAATTAGAGCTGACCTTCAAGACTGTATATTTTAGGCCAGTATATTCCATCCGAGAAACTTCATCCTAAAACAATGGGCAGAAGAAGTGGCGTGTTTAAGCCACCAAAAGCACATATCATCGCTCGTGATAGACACAACAACAGGAAAGCCGAGTTCAAACAGGAAAAGTCGATAAAAAGACTTCTGAAAAAGCAGAAAAAGAGAAGCGACATGCTGAAGGTGTTAGGGATTGACCTGAAAATGAACACTCTTGTAAGTATCCACCAACAGTGTATTAATGTCAAAATATTTAATATGGAGAAAAATATGCTATCTGTGAACAATAATGTCATTGATAAAACATGTTTATGTTATGAGATTGTGAATGAATGTATTTTAAAAAAATATATGATACACTAAATAGTGTTATGAAATAAAGTTTGGCATTCATAAATTGCAATCATTTCAGAATAATTCTTTTTTTACAGTCAAAATTTATTCTAATTTACAGGAGAAAGTTTTAGAAACAGGGAAGCAAATTATTGAAGAAAAAGAAAAGGAGAAATTGACCCATGAAACAACAGAAACAAATGTGAAGACACATGTAAAATCTAATGCAAAAACACCGAACTCTGCTAAAAAATCTAAGTCAGATTCCAAGTCACCTCTGTCTTCTGCTGAAGCAACACCTAAAGGACCATCAACACTCTCTAAAGTCACTCCACTGTCCTCCAAGGCAACACCTGTATCATCAAAGAAAGCAAAAACACCTAAAGAAGCCCCAGCTGTGAGTGAAGGAAGGCAGCAAACTCCTAAAGCAAAACCTATAGCAGCAACCCCAGTAACAACAAAGGCAACACCTCCAACATCTAAGAAAGCAAAAACACCTAAAGAAGCCCCAGCTGTGAGTGAAGGAAGGCAGCAAACTCCCAAAGGAAAACCTATAGCAGCAACCCCAGTAACAACAAAGGCAACACCTCCAACATCTAAGAAAGCAAAAACACCTAAAGAAGCCCCAGCTGTGAGTGAAGGAAGGCAGCAAACTCCTAAAGCAAAACCACTAGCAGCAACCCCAGTGACTTCAAAGGCAACACCTTCAACATCAAAGAAAGCAAAAACACCTAAAGGAACCCCAGCTGTAAGTAAAGCAACACAACAGACACCAGAAGCAACACCAGCAACATTGAAGGCAACATCTGTACATAAACTAACACCCATGCCAAAAAAGAAAAACAGGAAGACAATAAGCCCTGAGATCTCACCAAAAGATCAAAGTATGGAGATCTTAATGGAGGACAGTGAAGAGGAGGACATTTCATTTAAAACTCCCCCCAACACCGTACGATCCTCCAAAACCCCGACCTTATCCGCCTCCGCTAAAAAGAAGCGGCCTCAGTCAGGAAGAGATAACACTCCAGTCACCATACAATCCTCCAAAACCCCGACCTTATCCGCCTCCGCTAAAAAGAAGCGGTCTCAGTCAGGAAGCAGTAACACTCCGGTCAGAAAAATTGATGAACCACAGAGCAAGAAGAAGAGGAAAAGTCTGGAATGAAAAAAAATTATATCATATGAGAATTGATATCAAATACAGTTGACATTCACAGTGAACTTTTACAAAAATTATTGTTATTGCACTAAGTGGCATTTATGTGGGTATTTTTTTTTATCATTTTGCAATATTCATTCCATGGAAAGATCTGAAATAAAAACATTTTGATATAATCTGTTACAAGAATCGTAAAAAAGAAATAAATTACACAACTAAATAAAGACATTTACAATTATAGCGGTGTTAAATTAATTTACAGTAAAAAAATATTTGGGTCAATTAATCGAATGTCAAATAATCAGATATGTAGGGTATTCTGAGGCCCCAAATTAGCCAAATATAATGACTGATGTTTAGTGGAGAATGCTTTTGAAATAGACCGGTATTCAGAGCCACTTTGTCAAAGCCTACTATCCACATGACAATTGTTTTGCAATATTATAAATATTGGAATAATTTTTAACCCAGACCTACTTTCAAAGTATAAGAGTTTTGTTACAGGGTATTTCTTATTCACAATTTTACTTCTCAAAAGTTAATTTTTAAGCACTTGTCCAAAGATCGGGGTTCAGAGTAAGTTCAGGGTCATTGCAGGCCCCTTTATGAGTAAGTTCAGTCCTTGGAATCAAAGTTTTACATTGAAAGGCATAGCAAAATCTTTAAAAGCCTTCTTTTCAAGAACCACTGGGTCAGTAAACCAGAAACTTTTGTGGAAGCTTGCTGAGGTAGTGAGATATGGTATCCAGATAGGAAAATTTGCAAAAGCTCAACACCGCATTCTGAAAAACACACTCGTGCTAACACACAACACGCTGTTTTAGTGCAAAGTTGTGTTAGCATGTTGTGTGACAGCACTCTGGGTGAAATTGTGTTAGCGCGAAGGGGTGTTGTGTGTTAAATTTATGCGACGGCAAGTTGTTTGAAGTTGTGTTGGTGCAATGGCATGTTTTTTTTATAGTGTGTCACAGCGTGTTTTGTGAAAGCACAACAGCGTGTTGTGTGAACTTGTGTAAGCACAACTGTGTGTTTTGTGAAATCTTGTTAGCACCAGGGTGTGTTGTTTGAAAGTGTGATGGCATGATGTGCGTTAGTGCAATGGTGTTTTTTCTGAACACGCTGTTGCGCGCAAATGACCATCGCGCTAACACACAACACTCTGATGCATGCGCTAACAGGCTTTCAAGCAACAGCTTATCACACTAACATGATTTCACACAACATGTCTTCGCATTGTCGCACAACATGCGTACACAGCTTTGCACTCTACAGAGTGACGGCGTTGTTGTATGTTATCGCGACTGCATGTTTGTTTTCTGAACACACTTTTGAGCTTTTGTAAATGGCCCTATCCCGACAACATATGTAGATTCAAAATTGTTCCAATCATGGCCCAGGTGAGCAAATATTGTATATATGACCCTTTTTAAAAAAAAATATTTATAAACTTCTTATATGACTTCTAGGGGTATGGCGGGACCACAATGGGTGATCAAATTTTTATTGGAATATACAGGGAAAAAATAAAAAAATCTGCTGATATTAAAGTAGAGTCATAATGTGTCATGTTAGTATTGTGGCCCACAGGCGATGTGGAGTCGCAAAACCGAAAGTGAATCGGGATCGAGATTCATATTAATTTCCAACTGAGAAGCAGTCTTTGAGTCAGCGGCGTCTTTGTCAACAGTCAGGCCAGGGCATGGTAAAAACATTTATCATAAGGTTATCAATTCAATATGTATTGAGAATTTTGGTAACTAGTCTCAAAAATCTATTAAATTATATCACTATATAACTGGGGTTTCCACTTTTTAGAGTTCGACTAAGGAAAGCGTTCTTTTGGCTGCAAAGCAGTTTCTGAACTTTGTCAACAAGAGCCCATCTCCCTACCACGGTAACGAAATACAGATATCTGCAAAATATTAAAAATAAAGATATTCCTCTATTTTTTTTGTAAAGAAATAAATTATGATATTAACATGGTCAATATGTTTTTGTCAGATTCTAATCTACAATAAAAAAAAATTTATCATATTGTATACTCGATTCTCATTATATAGCGGGTTTCATTGTGTCTTGGTATATTGCAAAAAATTGGATACATGGCCTATACTCTTTTTGTTAAATGTCAAAATGAATGTTGTCTGAATGTTAACATTTTTTATGATAAAGAAGTATGGAACATCTGTTTGATAAAAAAAATATTCAAATAAAACATAATTTAACAGATTTCAAGTCCCGTTTTTATTATATTTAAACCATTAAATTTATAACCTAGTAAAAATTATAATAAAGTTCCTCATTTAAAAATTTTTAGTTTGTACAATTGTTTATTTTTCATGTAGAATTACATCGTAAATTCACAAATAAAAATTGAAGTTCATGTCATCTTAAATTTCCATGTTCTCCCATACCGCGATACAAGGAGACTCTCCAATCGAGGAGGTAAATAAGACTTCCTGTTTTAAAAATAGACCACAAATTAAACGATGCAAGCTTGGTAAATAATTGGACACCAAAAAGTAAGGCCAAAGTTGGAATTATAAATATCATTAGATTTACGTTACAGTAAAAATTTGAAATTGCACTTTTTATGCAAAAGAATTAAGTACCGCGATATAATGAGACATCAGTATACATGTTGTATAAGGCTAAATGTGTCTGCTAAAGTAGGATGTACACGCATGGTACAGCTTAACATTTTATAAATTTATTTTTACCCCGCCTTTTCACATTAATTCAAAGTCAGCAATCATAAGTGTCAAACATATTCATATTACTTATAGCAGGCCTGGCATAATCTCTTGATTAAGCTATATATTATAGCTTGATTTAGCTATATAGGTTTTTTTTCATAAATATATATAGATCAAGGTCAGAAGTTCAAAAATTGAACTAACCCAAAAAGGTCTCACAAAATGTGATAACCTTACGAAAGTTATGGCCAAGGTCTAAGATTTTGCAGCCAAATAAACTACTGTGAAATCATCAATGTTTATGCTGGATCAGTGCTCACAGATTAATGGGTCACCCCTATCCAGGAATTCACATCCCCATGAACAATATTTTGCCAGCATATTTATTCATGAGATCTTCTGCATGTTCTGTATATATGAGTTACCCATGAAATTACCTCCCCTGGAACCAATAAAATTTTGCTTGTCCAATTACATTGAACTCACAAATTACATGTAAAATATGATTACATAGTAAATACATGTCTCTACATCTCTGATAACAGGCGGGACATACATATACAAGATAAGTTTGTAACCTGTGTTTTGAACTTTTTTGTTATTTGTATAGCTGTCCAAGAAGTAAAGAATATTCTTGTATCAGCTGGCTTCAAAGAACTGAGTGAAACAGAGCCATGGTCAGTGAAACCTCTGGACAAGGTAATACTATACAGGGATTGATGGACAGGAGGGTTTTAATTGTATTCCATTGTGTATAGAAATTTTGGTTGGTTGATTATCTTTCTGCACATTCAATCATAACATCATTTCATATATCAAGTTTTGTGTCTATGTTTTAGATATGTTTTAAACTGCTATGTGCTGAAGTAAATTAAAATTTTTAAGTAGGCCTGTGTGCAGAAAATATTGCAGAATTCATATCTTATTTTAAAAATTTAAATTACTTAAGATGTCAAATATTACTATGATATTTTTGATAAATGAGAGAGAGTCTGTTTTATATTTATAATTAATACAATTGACTTTATTTATCATCTTTAGTGTTTCTTGACCCGAAATCATTCTACCATCATTGCGTTTGCTGTTGGTGGGAAATTTAAGCCTGGAAATGGCTTCAGTATCATTGGAGCCCACACAGACAGCCCTTGTTTGAAGGTATGTAGATCAAATAAAGTAGTCAGCATATTTGTACATGTAATTATAAGCATTCCATACTTATAAAGACAAATTTGAAAGATTTACTAACATCAAAAAGCAAAAAAAAAAAAAAAAAAAAATGAAAGTACAGCGTTGAACATACATTGTATAAATTTGGTCCTGTATAAAGACAAAGTGTTTTTAAATTTTGCAATTTCTGATACATACATTTTTAATTTAACTGTGACATTATTTGCCTTTTGACATTATATTAAAAAATCTTTCAAATTTTTCTTTAAAAGTATGGAGTGCTTGTACAAATATTTATTGGAGGATAATGATTGTACAGTGTGTATCTTAGTTTTATTTGAAAGTAGAAACTCGGTTGCTAGTTGCCATCATCTGGCTGTCATCACTTTCAGGTGATTGTTACATGTTAATGTAGCTTTCCTCTCTCATTTGTATAGTATTTGATAAAAATTGTTGTAAGAAGATACAAGATAATGTGTGTATGTACTCTGTGTATTTTATTTCAATATGTTTGTACATATATATACTTATTATAATCCTCACCATTGGCAGGTGAAGCCCCGCTCTAAAGTTGATAAGAGTGGGTTTCAGATGGTGGGGGTGCAGTGCTACGGTGGGGGAATCTGGCACACCTGGTTCGACCGGGACCTGACCCTGGCAGGTAGAGTCATCACTAAGGTAAGTCATTCAAATTGACTATCTCAGAAGTCAGCTGCAAAAAAAATTCACCTTATAAAGAATGGGGGAAGTAAGTCTAGAAAAATTACCGTAGTTCAATTTTTGAAAGAAATGGAAATTTTAAGATTTACCTACCTAATAAAATTTTCTTTGATAATCTATGAAAGGTAAATATTGTATGTAATAATAACTACATAATAAGGCACCTGATAATCACTTTTTCTCTTAATATATTCTATATAGGAGTTTTAAAGAGTCACCATAGCAGAAAAGAAATAATTCCCTTGTAATTGGAATTGTTGGAAAATTTGCCCCCCAGTTTCAAGATTTCTTTCCTTTGGCAAATAAAAACCTGTCCTTTGGGCTCAGTTTTTGTTTGCCAACAAAAATCTCTTTAACTATCGGGGAATATTATCCAACAATACCTCTGAGGTGTGAAATATTCCTTAAATATATTATGACCCAGATAAAAGTATGATGGTTTAATTTTCAGAATGGAGAGAGACTGGAACACCGGTTACTGAATCTGGAGAAACCCATCCTTAAGATTCCTAACATCTGCATTCATCTGATGAGGGACCACAATGAAAAGTTCTCCCCCAATAAAGAAACGCACTTGTAGGTCATGAAAAGCACACACTAGATTTTTGTGTAGGCTTGGTGTCAAGTTAGCTCACCCACTATTAAAATTTGATGATGAAGTTAAGTTTAGATGAGAGTCCTGCTTGGAAAATACTGTTATCTAATAATGATATTTAGAATCAGTATATGGACATTTTTGTCAACATCAGATGTGTTTGCTATTTTAATGGTCACAAAGTGCATTTCAAGGGAGTGCATAAGAGAAGCAAAAAAGCATATATACACTAAAAAGTTTACCTGCATTTTATATTCTCTCTTTTTCATTTATTATTGTCAAATGACTTAGCATAAGCAAAATTATATACAAAATTCATTGAAAGATAAATCCCATTTTATCTTTCTTTTAAACAGATTGCCTGTATTGGCAACGGCTGTTCAAGCAGAACTACAAGGTGTTCCAAAGAACTCTGAAGAAAACAAAAAAGAAGAAGGATTTAAATTAGAGGTTACTAATGGCTTTATTATTGCCAGATACATTGTCTTGTCCTTCCATAATGTCAGAAAAATATATTTATCCTTAAACTTTTAAGTGATTTTTATCTGAAATATTGCTTGATTGTTTTAACAAGTATAGCTTCCTTTGAAGAAAGATAAATTTATGACTGTTTTATCAGGCATGTTCTTTTATAGAAAGATAAACATCAGCCCCTCTTGGTAAAGCTAATATGTGATGCACTGAACATTCAACCAGAGCAGATGTTGGACTTTGAACTCTGTCTAGCAGACACCCAGCCTGGTGTAAGACTAATCAATAAGTTGATAAATCATTATTATGTATATTTTCTTGCAATACTAATTAATCTGTGATGACCAAATAAAACATGATTTTCTCTTTCTAAATAGATCATTAATCAACCATAATTTATTATTAGGTCACCTGAGTAAACTCAGGTGACCTATTGCTATCCGTTTTCGTCCGTCGTCGTCCGTCGTGTGTCGTGTGTTAACATTTGAACATTTTCAGCTTCTTCTCTGCAACCACTGAACCAATTTCAACCAAATTTGGCACAAAGCATCTATGGGTGAAGGGGAACAAAAATTGTGAATTTCATGATCCCTGCCCCCCTGGGGCATGAGGGGTGGGGCCAAAACCACTAAAATTAATGCAATCTTTAAAAATCTTCTTCTTTACTCCTGGACATCAAGCAGTCAAACTATTTGCATGATTGTAATCAGCATTGAGTCCTCTACCAAAATTGTGAAATTCATGGCCCTGGGGTCAGGGGTTCTAGTGCTAGGGTGGGGCTAAATAAGTATATAGTGAAAATGCATTATTTCTTTGAAAATCTTGTTCTCTGCTCCTGGGTATTAAATAAACCAACTAAGTACATAGTTATGATGAGCAAGAGTGCCTCTACCAAAATTGTGAATTTTATGGCCCCAGAGTCAGGGGTTCTGGTGTTAGGGTGGGACTCTATTGATTATATAGTAAAAATACATGATTTCTTTGAAAATCTTCTTCTCTGCCCCTGGGTATTAAATAAACCAAGTAAGTAAATAGTTATGATGAGCAAGAGTGCCTCTACCAAGATTGTGAATTTTATGGCCCCAGGGTCAAGGGTTCTGGTGTTGGGGGGGGCTCTATTGATTATATAGTGAAGTTACATGAATTCTTTGAAAATCTTCTTCTTTGCTCCTAGGTATTAAATAAACTAACTAAGTGCATAGTTATGATGAGCAAGAGTGCCTCTACAAAAATTGTGAATTTTATGGCCCCAGCATCAATGGTTCTGGTGTGGGGGGGGGGACTTTATTGTTTATGAAGTGAAAATACATGAATTCTTTGAAAATTCTTTTCTTTGCTCCTAGGTATTAAATAAACTAACTAAGTACATAGTTATGATAAGCAAGTGTTCCTCAACCAAGATTGTGAATTTTATGGCCCCAGGGTCAAGGGTTCTGGTGTGTGTGTGTGTGTGGGGGGGCTCTATTGATTATATAGTGAAAATATGTGAATTCCTTGAAAATCTTCTTCTCTGCTCCTAGGTATTATATAAACTAACTAAGTGCATAGTTATGATGAGCAAGTGTGCCTCAACCAAAATTTTGAATTTAATGGCCCTATCATCAAGGGTTCTGGTGTTGGGGGGGGGGCTCTATTGATTATATAGTGAAATTACATGAATTCTTTGAAAATCTTCTTCTCTGCTCCTAGGTATTAAATAAATTAACTAAGTGCATAGTGATGATGAGCAAGAGTGCCTCAACCAAAATTGTGAATTTTATGGCCCCAGGATCAAGGGTTCTGGTGTTGGGGGGGGGGGGCTCTATTGATCACATGGTGAAAATACATGAATTCTTTGAAAATCTTCTTCTCTGCTCCTAGGTATTAAATAAACTAAGTGCATAGTTATGATGAGCAAGAGTGCCTCTACAAAAATTGTGAATTTTATGGCCCCAGCGTCAATGGTTCTGGTGGTGGTGGTGGTGGGGGGGGGGGGCTTTATTGATTATAAAGTGAAAATACATGAATTCTTTGAAAATCTTGTTCTCTGCTCCTAGGTATTAAATAAACTAAGTAAGTGCATAGTTATGATGAGCAAGAATGCCTCTTCTAAAATTATGAATTTCATTGCCCCAGGGTCTGGGGTTCTGGTGTTAGGGTAGGGCTCTATTGATTATATAGTGAAAATACATTAAATCTTTGAAAATTTTCTTCTCTGTCTCTGGGTATCTGGGTATGAAGCAGATGAACTACCTGTATAGTTATGATGAGCAAGGGCCCTAATCTTGCAGAATTGTGAATTTCAAGGCCCCAGGGTCAGGGTTGGGGGGGGGGGCTCTACTTATATACTGAAAATGAATTAATTGTTTGAAATCTGGTCCTTTGGGCCAAGCTTAAAAAATTCTTTGTTTGCAGTTGCCGATCTATAATTTTTAGATTAGGCCGGTAGGTAGGCATTCTTTTTTTTTTTTTTTTTGGAAAAAAAATCAGATTTTTGTTAGATAACAATTAAAAGAGGTTTTTATACATCTACTAGACATGAATAAGCTCACCTCTTGTTATAAACCAATGAATGATAAAAACGTGTCAAAATTTGCAAACGAAACTGTTTCAATATTCTAAAAAATTAAAAAAAAATCAAATTACCAAATGCATGGCTAAAAAAAAGTTTGGGTCGGGTGCATTTTCAGTGGGTCGGTAGGCAACTGCAAACAAACTTAATTTTATTTTAGGCCTTGTATTTATAAAACATTTATTTACTTTTTGATAGGCAATTTTAAGGGTGCCTTTTAAAAATTTGTGCAACCTAGGGTCAGGGGTTTATGTCAGAGTGTTAGGGGCACTACTGATTATTGATGAATATTACTGATCAGTTGGAGTGCATTTTTGTTCCCCTACCCTGCGTATGGGTATTCAGTAACCAAGCTAAGCAACTGCTAAGTTTATTGTTATGATGATCAATGGTGCCCTTTCAAAATTGTGAATGCCATATAGCATCTGGCTTAAAACATGAATCAAATTCAATACACTGTAACTGGAAAGTTGTTGCATAATGCTCAGGTGACCTATAAGGCCCGTGGGCCTCTTGTTCCACTAATACACTATGTATAAAGGCGCTTTCATTCATGAGGAGAGTGACATCATTAGAGACTAAAGCAATACATGTATGTCATTTTGAGGGGATAAAAGAGAATTTCATTTACAAAATGTAGTAAATGCAATTTTTACTTTTTCAGGCTATAGGCGGAGCATTAGATGAGTTTATCTTTTCGCCCCGACTGGACAATTTACTGAACGCATACTGTGCTACTAGTGTGAGTTACACATGTCTTTAAACCAATTCTGAGAGCATCAATGAAGTTTGAGCCTGTTGAAATCCTTTGAAATAAACACTTCCTGAATTTTTCTTTCCCTTTTACAGGCTCTGGCAGACTCCTGTGATGATGGAAGTCTGGCATCAGACACTAATGTAAGGCTGATATGTCTGTTTGATAATGAGGAGGTAAACTTATATATGGCTGATATGTCTATTTGATAATGAGGAGGTAAGCTTATATATGGCTGATATGTCTATTTGATAATGAGGAGGTAAGCTTATATATGGCTGATATGTCTATTTGATAATGAGGAGGTAAGCTTATATATGGCTGATATGTCTATTTGATAATGAGGAGGTAAGATTATATAAGGCTGATATGTCTGTTTGATAATGAGGAGGTAAGCTTATATAAGGCTGATATGTCTGTTTGATAATGAGGAGGTAAGCTTATATAAGGCTGATATGTCTGTTTGATAATGAGGAGGTAAGCTTATATAAGGCTGATATGTCTATTTGATAATGAGGAGGTAAGCTTATATAAGGCTGATATGTCTGTTTGATAATGAGGAGGTAAGCTTATATAAGGCTGATATGTCTGTTTGATAATGAGGAGGTAAGCTTATATGAGGCTGATATGTCTATTTGATAATGAGGAGGTAAGCTTATATAAAGCTGATATGACCATTTGATAATGAGGAGGTTAGGTGATATATGGCTAATATGTTCATTTGAGAATGAGGTAAGCTTATATTACATGGCAGTAGGAACTTGGAGGATGGACATGCCCCCCTCCCTACAATAACTTTGCCTGAATATAGAAAATGAAGCTACTTAATGCTAGTACCCAGAAATATTTAATGTCAAACGTTTTTAGCTCACCTCAACGAAGTTGGGGGGAGCTTATGTGATACCCTCGGCGTCGGCGTTGGTGTCGGCGTCGGCGTCCCGGGTTAAGGTTAAGTTTTTTGGAGCAGTTTTCTTTTTAAGTACTTCTATGTCCTATATTGATTAGACATGCATGGAAGATGTTGCTAGTGAGTTTCATTGTACCAGTCAAAGTTTCAGATGCTGCAATTTCAGCAAAGGAATAACCAGGTTAATGTTTTTGGTGCAGGTTAACATTTTTGGTGCAGTTTTTGGTGAAGGTCTCATTTCCGAGTAACTATAAGCCCTATGTTGACCAAACTTACATGGATGATACATCTTAGGATGCATACTACCAGCCTTGCTTCGGATGCTGAATCTGACCTACATTTTCCGGTTGAGTGAACAGGTTAAAGTTTTTGGTGAAGGTTTCATTTCGAAGATACTTTGAGCCCTATGATGACCAAACTTGCATGGATGATACATCTTTGGATGTATTCTACTAGACTTGCTTCGGATGCTGAATCTGACCTACATTTTCCGGTTGAGTGAACAGGTTAAAGTTTTTGGTGCAGGTTTCATTTCCAAGTTACTATGAGACATATAATGACCAAACTTACATGGATGATACATCTTAGGATGCATACTACCAGCCTTGCTTCGGATGATGAATCTGACCTACATTTCCCGGTTGAGTGAACAGGTTAAAGTTTTTGGTGAAGGTTTCATTTCGAAGATACTTTGAGCCCTATAATGACCAAACTTGCATGGATGGTACATCTTAGGATGTATTCTACTAGACTTGCTTCGGATGCTGAATCTGACCTACATTTTCCGGTTGAGTGAACAGGTTAAAGTTTTTGGTGAAGGTTTCATTTCCAAGTTACTATGAGACATATAATGACCAAACTTACATGGATGATACATCTTAGGATGCATACTACCAGCCTTGCTTCGGATGATGAATCTGACCTACATCGGGTTGAGTGAACAGGTTAAAGTTTTTGGTGAAGGTTTCATTTCGAAGATACTTTGAGCCCTATAATGACCAAACTTGCATGGATGGTACATCTTAGGATGCATTCTACTAGACTTGCTTCGGATGCTGAATCTGATCTACATTTTCTGGTTGAGTGAACAGGTTAAAGTTTTTGGTGCAGGTTTCATTTCCAAGTTACTATGAGACATATAATGACCAAACTTACATGGATGATACATATTAGGATGCATACTACCAGCCTTGCTTCGGATGCTGAATCTGACCTACATTTTCCGGTTGAGTGAACAGGTTAAAGTTTTTGGTGAAGGTTTCATTTTCAAGGTACAGTGTACTATGAACCGTATAATGACTAAATTGCATGGATGGTACATCTTAGGATGCATACTACCAGACTTGCTTCGGATGCTGAATCTGACCTACATTTTCTGGACGAGTAAACAGGTTTAAGTTTATGGTGCAGGATTCATTTCCAAGTAACTTTGAGCCCTATAATGACCAAACTTGCATGGATGGTACATCTAAGGGTGCATTCTACTAGGCTGGCTTCGGATGCTGAATCTGACCTACATTTTCTGGATTAGTGGAAAGGTTAATTATTTTATACAGGTTTCATTTGCAAGTAACTTTAAGCCCTATGTTGACCAAACTTACATGGATGATACATCTTAGGATGCACACAAATGGACTTGCTTCAGATGCTGAATTCGACATACATTTTCCAGATAATAGACCTCGTAAAAGTTATGGGTGCAAATCTATCACTACGGAACTATAAGGCTTATATAAACCAGTTGCTTAAATGATGCATCAAGGGATGAAAACTCTCAATCTTGCTTCAGATGCTGGATTTTAATTACATTTTCATGATGAAGAACTAGTTTTTAGTTTTTATATAGATCTATTCCAAAGTATCAAAATTGCATAAATTTTGCATTTTTGGATGTACACTTTTTGTTGGTTAATTGTGTGACTTAATTTGCCTTACTTAAAGACAACACACGTTGAGGTGAGCTCTGTAATCTCTGATTACCTATGTTTATTTGTCAAGGAGAATGTGGTAATGCACCCAAAACTGAAAATATTGCCCCCCACCCCCAACTCAAATTGTTTTTTACAGGCATGTATTTGGGTAAGATTTCTGATTTCTGTTCCATGTGCAATGTATGATGTCTTCTTTTACAAATACATTTGTATATCATCTGTTGTTTGTAGGTGGGTTCTGAGAGTGCCCAGGGGGCTGCCTCCACCCTACAGGAACTGGTTCTTCGTCGACTTAGCGCCGGGGGGACAAGCACTGCTTTCGAGGAGTCCATTCCCAAGTCCTACATGGTCAGTGCAGACCAAGCTCATGCAGTTCATCCTAACTACCCGTATGTTTGGCTTCTTATATTTTCTTTTAAATTTGAATATTTCTGCTTCTTCTTTTAAATGACAGTTCAACTTATTTCAGCTGTTTTGGGAGTACAAATTTGATGAGGAAATGGGAATAGAGACTTAATTTCATAACAGCTGTTTAAGCCCTTCATGCTCCATGAATATTGTACTCCTCAGGTGGCTAAATCATCTTAATGACTCAAAAACAGCAATAATTGTATAATATGTTGTTAATGTGGTCGGTGTAAGGAAGGATGTGAAATGCTTGTGCCACTCAGGTGTTGATAAAGGCTTATAAATCCCTTTTTTATGTAAATATGTTTGATGATGTTCAAACTTTTTCTCATATATTTGCTTTGTCTTTTTTTTTCAGGGAAAAACATGAGGACAATCACAAGATTGGATTACACAAAGTAAGTTTATCCTGCTCAAGTATACTGTAAACCAACTTTTATTCGCGACGACTTTATTTTGCGATTGACAAAAGGTAAACCAGTTCGCGAGGATTTATTTTCACGATCAAGCCTTTCTGGATCTGTTATTAATAGACACATACACTTGAAGGACCAGTTTGCGGTGAGAAATATTTGCGATGACAAGGCTCTCGTGAACTTCGCGAAAATTTCTCGCACGCGAATAAAAGTTGGTTTACAGTAAATCTGTGAAAACAGACTAATTCTAATTTCTTTGGGATGTATTTTTGTTTGTGTGTTTTGGCAGGGAGTTGCCATTAAGTTCAATGCCAACCAGAGATATGCCACAACAGCAATGACTGCCTCCATCTTGAGGGAGATAGCTAGGCTAGGACAGTGTCCACTACAGGTATGGCTAGGCTAGGACAATGTCAATTACATGTATGGTATGGCTAGGACAGTGTCCACTATATGTATGGCTAGGCTACAACAGTGTCCACTACAGATATGGCTATAGGCTAGGACAGTGTCCACTACAGATATGGCTAACTTAGGACAGTGTCAACTACAGGTATTGTGAAGTCAGACAACGGGGAAAAATTTATTAAAAGGAAAATACTTATTCTGAAGTTCATTTGTGTCCCACTTGTACAAATTTTCATTATTAGTTAAAGGGGAA